ATTACCTGTCTACAGCAGCTGCACTTATACGGGAACATGTCCTCACGTGAGTGTGCAGCAGAATGACGCATCAGCGATGCTTCGGAGGGAAAGGTCAGGCGACACTTACGACATGTATGCAGCTAAACAATAAGGGACATCCCACCTGATGATTAAATCAGAATTTCGCAATCATTCTTATTATCAGCTTTTTACCTGAAGAGCAACTCTCAGTTTGTAATTAGCGTTACTCATTGTTAGCGTTGTAACAATGGAAGGTTAACCGGATTTCATCGGTTAAAAGAAATGTTTGATATCAATCATATAACCCAAAATGATCTCCCCTAACTAAGTGCATGGCTTCATCGTCGCTTTTTTCAAAAGTGAATAGATAATGAAGCACGAATAAGACGACAACAGACAAAACGAAAAGCCGGAGGCATTTATTCATCGCACACCTATGACCTGTTTCTGGGGAAAATGAATGGCAAACGGCTTATCCTAATCTATGTTTGTGTTCATTAGAACCACCACAAACTAAAAGTGTTCATTAATTAACAGTTCATGCTTTATACATGATGGGGTAAATTGAAATAGTGCACCTTTGATTTGTTCCTTGCAATATAGGCGTCAATCTCTTCCTGAGGAAGTGGATGAGCACGAACACAATCTGGTGGTCGCTGCTTTGCTATAGGCTCAATGTGTATATCTTCCGATGGCGGTGCATTTTGTTCATTTGAGGAGAAATTCTAAAATAGAATTACAACTCTATGCAAGTTGAGACGATCTCAATAGCGACCCAAAGTAATCTTCGCTGAACAAACAGACGTTTTGAGATATCTCCTCGAGTTTTTGAATTACCAAGCCATATGTGATGGGAAGGTCGTTATCCTCATTATCAGAAACGGATGACTGATATCTGAAACGAAAAAAAAAACTTTGCAACATATGCCTGAACGCTTCAAATCAAGCATTCGACTTGTTATTGAACAAACCCGAAATTGTTATCCACGACTCAGGACAAGTTAAATGATACCATATGAGATGTTTAGATTCATTTCAAAATCAATACATTGTGTGCTTTTGATAGCATCGCCATCTGTTTCACATATACAAAAAAAAACTTGGTTATTCGGCTGGATAAAGAAGAAGACTTTTTTTTGATTCGGGAAAGAAGAGTAGAAAACGACAAGTAGTGCCAGGAGAAGAACGTCAAACACTTACGCTGCGTTCTCCTCTGGATTTGTGCTAGTTTCAATTCGCGATTTCAGCAAGTGGTTTGTTTCTAAACGGCGTGCAGAAGGGGAGACAGCAAGCCCACCGCGACGACGTCTCAAAAATCAAAATGTTGCTAGTGTTAAAACATTGGAAGTACATGTGATATG